CGGTTCGTCCATAGAGCACGGTCGTGCAGTGCCGCCCAACATTGTTTTATGTTCTGTTACGTTAAAAAAACCACAATAATAAAAATAAAAGAATCCAGAAACAAACACTAGCCTAATATTATATCAAAACAAGGTCCTCACTGGTGCCATAACTGTCATTCCTGTGTCTATATCGCCGTAAAAAATCTACTATGCCATGCCAAAGTCCACGCACTTTAGCTAAACTTAATAGGATATTCAACAGTGTAACCTGACCTATAAATCGTTCTTGGGGATAACCCAAGCGATGACAACACTCGTAGCGAGTTTGGCGGGACATTAATATAAATAAGACAGCACATCTCAAATGTGCTCCTGCCGAATAGTGCCGAAACAAAGCCCGCAGTAGGCAGTCTAAAAATAAACGCCATAGACCGGGCGCTATTCTTTGACAAAATTATGTGAGCCCCGGAGAAATCCAGCGGAGTGCTCGAGTGAATTGTGATTGGTTCATTGTCTGTCTTGCCACTATTTTAAGTGACTCTGTGACCGTGAACCTGAGGGGGGTAACGACGAACGTGACGGTCTTGTGAGTTATGCTTTTGAACAGTTTTGTAGTGGAGTAGTGAAAGTTATTACTTGAGTGTTCAGTTCCAATACAGGATGAACGAAATTGATGTTTAGCCAACAAACAAATTTAGTACTCGAAATCAAAGCCAGAAGTAATGAAATGAAAGCACGGGGTCCTCCCTCACCAACCCAAAGATCCTAAAATTATACATGTACATCGTCTCATTTACTCTGCCCGTGACTATCTTCAGCATGTGATAGCTTAATTGTGCACGTCCACTTTTTAGCCCCACGAGCCACCCCTGAAGCGGGTGCTTGAAACTTGAGGGAAACTGATGCAGGTTTCAAAAATGGAGAGAGTAAAATGCGTGTCAAACTGGGTTACCAAGGGGATAATTTTACCCGCAGATGTGTAAGTAGGGAACTGTGACAAATGCTAATTATAGAACTCAGTGTCTGGCCGGGGTGAGGGAAAGGGGGAGAGCAGGGTAGGATATTGTTGATCTGCCCACACTCTGCCTGCCGAGTGCCTCTCGCTCTCATCCCTCTTAATTTTTCTTCTATAACATGACTAGCCAATTCTTCAAAGCGCCGGTCTTCCAGGAAAGGAACCAGTGGGAAGTAAGGGACGAATAAAATCATCAAACAGAACCTGCAGGCAATACAAATTTGAGAAATGCTGACAATAACTAGAGACAGTTCTGCTGATAACGTTCCTGATGAATAACATGTTTTAAACAGTCCTATGCTTCAATAAAGTAAGCTGCTGAGAAGCCGAATTGGCAGCCAGAGGCTTTCTCTTTTGGTCCAGTAGACAGTTTGTAAAATGACCTTCTTGGATCGCGGTGTTCGCGCAAAGTCGTTCGTCTCGACAGAAGGCGGTGACAACAAAGTTGCGAGCCACTGTTAATAAAACAGAGACGAAGGAAAGAGAGTCTGGAGTGCATCAACTTATCAGTGAACCCCTATCGTATTTTCTGGGCGCCTTCAAATCAACAAAGTACTTCTTGAATGTTGGCAATAAATGTTAGTTAAGATTTGCTTGAAACTAGCAGCAATAAATCTTTTGTCCACTGTCCAGCCGATAAAACGTGACCAGCGGAGGTCTTGCCCAGTTAACGAACCGCGCCTGGTTTAAAGGACTGTTTCATATAGTGACCACACCCCCCCTTACAAATTAGTTTCGAGATATTCAGAAACGTTTTGTTTTTTTGGGGATCACTCTGTATTATAGTGTATCATTCCATAACATACGTACAGTAGGATACCAAACAAAACCACACCATAAAAATATTAAATATATCATACCACACCACACCCATAATGATATTATTATATGATACCACATCATAACGTCTATCTGACACCTTCGGCTGTTTGGGATTATTAAGGCCGTGAGGTAGGTCAGAAACCAAATTAATGATTTGCTCTGTCAAAATCAAAAGATTATTAGGAGACATTATAAAGATAATATTCAAAGAATTGCATTCTGAAAAACCTTGACATGCTGTGAAACTCTAGATTTTTTACGTCAAATTTCTCAAAACTAGGTACTGAGAAGATAGAACTTTGTAATTCTTGGGTAGCGACTGAAAGGTGGCAAAGGTAGTGGGCGCTGACTATAAAGAGGTTAAGAAGCACTAGCCTAGACCCACGGGTCGTGCCTTGGGCTTTAGGCAACATGTTGGACTTGGGGCACTTCAGTTGGCTCTGAACCCTGATTCGGACTAAAGGGTGTCTCTCTTTTTTTTCAAACTTGTTTTTTTATGGAGAGTTCCGGAGGCTCTCCAACTACCTGACCTGATGGTCCTATCGAAGAAGGACGTAACATTCTCAAGCATTGCCACGCAAATAGCTTAGAAAGTTGAAAGGGTCGTTGGACGAGTATACCTTGCTGAGAAATGTTTAGAGACAAACATAAAGGAGGACAAGCATAGCGGCAAGGACGAGAAAGAAATGGAGGAGGAGGAGGAGGAGGAGGAGACGAGGATTAGACGAGGAGGAGACGAGGAGGAGACGAGGAGGAGACGAGGAGGAGGCGAGGAGGAGACGAGGAGGAGATGAGGAGGAGACGAGGAAGAGGAAGGGGAGGAGAGGGGGGGGGATAAAGGGAAAGTTGGAAATATAATTCAAACGAAAGCAGGATTTTATGCAATACATCATTTTTATTCTCGTATTATTACATCTTTACCACAACATACGCACTTTTTAATAAGAATATATCATAACATGGCAACAACATTGGGTAGAATAGTTTATTATACATTTTTCAATATGATCGCCAGACCATGAATAAATACGAACATTCACAGGTTCTGAAAAGACGACGAGTAGAGACTCAATACAATGAAAAGAAAGCAAGTAGATAAATGCATAAATTAATTTTCAAGAAACTGTTTCGCTTCATTCAACTCGAAAACGGTCCTCACCCCAAATGCAAACAGTTTGCTTTACAATCCGCGGTGCGATTTTCAAAGCCAAAATAAGGTCTCTTCTTTGTCAAGTAGCTACGAGGTGCGTATAGTTATAACAGGATACAGATCGTATAGCAAACTCAGCATTTCTCACTAGAGAGTCCACGTACTCGATTTTGATTGTTGCTTTACTTGAAGGATTTAATTCTATTCTTTTACAAGGAAGGTGTAGCCCTTCACATGCTACGATCTACTGCAGAAGCCTCCGGATGGCAGTCCAAAACTTGTCTTTGTTGTTTACATTATCTTCGGCCATTATTTTTCTCTATAAGAAGTTTTTAAAGACTTTTTAAACAGACAAGAGTGGGGGGGGGAGGGAATGGTGCAACCACACAGAAGTGCTAACTATTATGAAATGAAAAATTCGAAAGTCCCTGATTAACACTTTGCAGTCACACAGCCAGCAGTACAAAATACCACAATCTGATCACCCAGGCAGAATGCGACTGCAACGGACTTCTCGGGCCGGGAGCAGAACTGCGCCAGGTGACCAGAACGGATAGTTTTTACCAGCGCATTATTGCGCCAAGTGACCCCAAAGTGTTCAGTTTTGGCAAAATGGAGAAAAAAAAACTTCACACAACAAGTCAAACACAATAAATGGTAGACAATGTGAAACCTTTAAAACAATCCCAATCCGATTCCATCATATTACAACTGGAAAAACCCCAAAAACAAAAACAAACATGGCCAGTGTGCATACATCCAAATTGCCATTTTAGATATGATTTTTACACTGAGCAAAAAACAGTTATAAATAAATTAGGTTTTCAAAATGTAGCCTTGCTTACAACCTCACAACCAGAAATGACACATATCAACAACACACCACATTTAAACACAAGGCAACAACACGTGTTTTAAAACAAACGAGCGATCCAAACAAACTCTGTGAAAAATTCAGCATAAAAATACTTAAAATTTTGATCTATTTTCTCGTAAAAATCCTTACTGTCATATCGTATAATATATATAACACAATTGCACACATTTATATTTGAGAATTTACCACTTAGTGTTGTACAGAACCGTTATCAGTTCCTCGACAGTTGGGGCAGAATTTAAGGCACTCTTTGAATATTTTCATAAAATCATGGTAAGCCAGCATGCAAAGGCGATACATTCAGTAGAGATAACCTCATATAGTTGTAGGAATTATAATGATGATATCAGTGATAATGATGTTGATGATGATGATGATGATGATGATGATGATGATGATGATGATGATGATGATGATGATGATGACAAGAGATTGGAATGTGTCAGTAAGTCAAGAAATGGGTGCCCTCCACGAATGTAACAAAAAATGCATTACTATTTTGAAAACGTGCACTTTACGGAAAAGCTGTTGATATTCTTAAAAGGCGTTTACTAAAAAGGGGGACTGGCTGTATTTGTTGTTGTTTTCGTTTTTGTTTTTAAATGTTGTTGCCCAAAGTTTTAAACAGGGCCAGGCAGCCAAGGAGAAATTATCATATGAAACAATAAACTTAAATGTGTTACAGTGCAACGGTCCCGTCACCAGTTACCCCCAGACTATCACAGAGATATATATCATATATATATATATATATCTAATTTTCTTTTTGTGAAAAAGCAGATAGTGAGATACAGGTGTTTATAGGCCTATATTATTTATTGATTTATATATATATATATTTATTTATTTATAATTAAGATATATAAAGAGAGATAAAAAATATACGTAGATTGAGAGCTGGAATGTTTATTAATGGGTTTTGTTTTTTGTTTTGCTTTTAGTTTGTTTGCGTGCGGCATTTCGGTAGCGCTGGAGTTAAGGTACCAAAAAGGTAAAGTTAATGTTTAGAAGTGCCCTAAACTTGCAACCCAAAACTACTCATGGAGCAGTGAAACAACTTTGGAAATTCCAGAGCGACTGTATGACTTGATGTGGCACTCCTAAGTAAACAGGAGACCCAGAAAAACACTTTCAATTTCATTTTTTTTTTTTCAATCAAATCCAAACAATCGTGTATAAGCATGCCAAGGGTGAAATGGGAAAACACGTTTCAGGCTACGAGTTTCAAGACGGCAAGAAATGTTAAATGGCCTGGGGGCAGCAGAATATGACAGTGAAATTATGAATACGTCTACCCTGATATCAGTAGCTTTATTTCATTTTTTTAGGAGGGGGGCGTAAGGGAGGGGGAGGTGTCAGAACACGTCTTAACATCACACCTAGTCTTTCTAAACGATTATTTACTCAATCTGGGATTTGAGGGGTTGTATGTTTTGTTTTTGTTTTGTTTTTTATTTTATGTTGTTGTTGTTCTTATTGCTGCAGTTGTTGTTTTTTGCTATTGTTGTTTGTTGTTTTGTTTTGTCAATGTATCATGAACTTATTTCAAGTCAAATCAATGTCGCTAAGAAATGAACATCTAACGTAAATTTTTCCACAGGTTCGATAGTTTCAATCTCAGCCTGATAAGCAGGATGTGGAGACAGATGATCATCATTGATAACATTATGATTGTAAGAAAACTACCAAACGTAACTGAATCTGTTCGACGTAGTCAATGTTTCCTATCTCATTCTGCCGCCTCCAGACCAAGATCACAAGAGCACATAAAACCATTACGAAGGATATATATTATAAAACATTATTGTATTATATAACTTCATAAAACACCATTGAATCTTCACAAAATATGCAGCATAAATGCAAAAGATAAGAAAAACAAAGTTTCTTTGGGGCAACAATAACAAGCATTCAAGAAACCCACTCAGAAAAGAAACTTTTTTTAAAAAGTATAGTACAGTATATCAATATACGAATCAACAGATTGAGAATTGAGTATATTTGAAAGTTTGACTTTGCAACATTTCTTTTACAGTTGTTGTTTGTTGGGGGATTGGGGGTGGGGGGGGGGTTATTTGCGAAAGACACTCTGATGATATCATAAACTAAATACATGCTGGGTATTCCGGATGAAACCATCGCGAAACGCCATGGTGTATTTTTAGAACCCTTCCAGTCGTGCCAGAAAGCAAAGTAGCGTTCTAAAATATTTGCTGATCAAAACACTATAAAGGCTGGCCTTTATATACATGCCATGTCTAATAAAAGCGTTCATGACTGTACTTCATCTACATTAGAGTAGGTCTACATATAAACGTGAGCAATATTCTTAGAAGCAAAAACAAAATTATTTGTACTAGAAGAACTGTTTTGGTCTGTGAACAAATCAAGTTCCACCCGATAAGTATGCGGCAGAGGTATCAATTCGTTTTTCTGTTCTTGTTGTGTTTGTTTTTTGTTTCTTTTTTGCCTTGTCAAATGAACGATAACACTTTATTATTTTAAAACAGATTTGCTTGATTTAAGCGTTATCTTTTCTTTTTCACAACAGTATAGGTAAGGCTAGCGACAGTTTCTAAAAGCGCCAAGAAGGAATGAGTCGTGCCAACTTGAACAAAACATTTTCCCTGAGAATCTTAAACGTTTTTTTTACAATTGCCATGTTTTATTTAAACATCACCAATGGTGCATTCTCATAATTCTTGAACATGACATTAAAGTTGTGATTTCCTAGATTAAGGAAATTACATGTCGCTACGAGAGAAAAAAAAGAAGAAATACTTTTGGAGTGGCAAATAAACGATTCGGCCACTAGATCTATCTATGGAAGTACTTGACAATGGAATACCTTTTAAATTTCCGATAAAGAACATACTCAAAGAGACAACGAACCTTCTTACAATAACATAGGAGGTACAAGAAAGCTTTTTTAAAACCTATTTTCCGATGTAGTGATATTTGTCACATGTTATTTATGTTCTCAAACGTCATATTAAGAGTGCAATGACTGGTTATCGTATTTGAAACCCAACGCGGTAAAAAGGTTAATGATATTGCTAACAATATTAACATAGCGGAAACAAAAGGCATATCATTAACATCCCAGACAAGAATTATACTTAAGATGCGGGGATTATAACGATATGATGCTGCCACATGGCTATAATAGAGGTTGAAGTCACTTATCACAGTTTTTAAAAGATCGAAAAAAAAACTTACTAATTCCAGGCCGTTTCCTAAATTAGACTGCTATTACTTTTTTTTTTCACTTGGAAAATGTTTCGTGCGTCCTTTTTAACATGAAGTGATAAATCACTGTTTGATGATTGTCCTTGGTGGACAAGATTGCTTTTGGTCTTGAGTCTGACTTAAGCCATTGTCGTAGCAAATTGTAGAGACATTTATCGTCGTCATTGCGACATCAAAAATTCAAAAACAGGAGATAACGGGAGATGGGGGGGGTCCCTTAGTGACAGAGGGGGGGGGTTCCCTTAGTGACAGATGAGACTAAACACGGTGTAAACAAAAACTATTTCATTTTTACTGAAGAGTCATTGCTCAGGCCGTGAATGCGAGAGAGTGGAAGGGAGAGGAAGAAAAAAGACATCCTCTCGAAAGGTGCAATGATGAATGGATGTAAAGGAATGAACACATTTGAATACCAACAAAATAAAAACCCAGCTTTCTTGGCTCTGTCCAGTACCCATCTGTTGACGTCATCTGTGCACATTCTTTCCCTTCAGTTCTGTTGTCCATCGTACAGCTTGGTCCTTATTACGCCATAGAGTCGGGCTTTTTCGAACGTCCAGGCTGATAGAATAGGAGAAAGAAATCAGTGAATCATACCATTGGTTGATCAATGAAATAATCAATAAACAAGTCCATGTCATAGACAAACAAAAGTTGCAATTGCAGTCAATCATAAAACTACGACAACGTTTATTCAGATCATAAAAAGAGTGAGCATGGTAGCTTGGAAAACCTTTATTTGATGTAAAGCTCCCGCTGCCGTC